CTGCCGGAAGGCCGTCATTCTGCCTTAGTGGTGGATGCGAATTTCTGCGTGCAGCTAAGGCTCCGAACTCGGAAGAACAGGCCGCGCGGCTCCCTTTTGGTGAGGCCTTGTTGTTGTAAATCTTCTGCCCTCAACCCCCTGTGTGTGGGCCATCGGTTGAGTGAACGATCATCAAAGCTCTATGCGGGTGAAAGGCTTACTGCCACTTCACCGTCTGAGGGACTCAAGGTTCTCCACAAAGTTTTGGCGGACCTGGGCGTCGCTGGACCTTCCAGATACACATGGAAGGCATTCCGGGCGGGCAAGGCAACTAGCATGATTGCACAGGGCCGCACTCTGCCTCAAGTCCTTTCTGCCGGGGAGTGGAGGAGTCAGGCGGTGCTAAAGTACGTGGACGAAGATGTCATTGAAAATGCGGCCTTTTTGAGGGCCATTGATTCTGACGAAGATGCCTAACAAAAGATGCTGCGTTGGGAATCAGTAGGCAACGATGGGAATGAGTCCGTAACCTTGGACTGCACAAGTCATTCAAGAGCCAAGTCTTGACTGCGACTGTTCCTGATCTATGGAAGGCAGCATGTCAGCAGTCCTCTTGAACAAGGGGGCTTCATATTCCGAGGTACTGCTGTGAATCCCAATGCAATCACAGTGCCAGCAAAAGATTCACATTGCGGGAATTTGCTGGGGTTTTGTTAGGTCTTCGTGCTTTTGTCTTAGGGTCGTTGGGGGAGTGGGCATTTTGGTTCTGAGACAAGGGTGACGAAATTTGTGGAAGAATATATGAGAGATTATCAGAGCCGGCGAAGCAAAATAGCAGTCAAACCAAGAGTCTGGTATGTTGGGACATTTTTTTCTGAGTCGCGCGACTAGTGTGATGCATGCAGGACTTGATAGATCTTGGTACCATGGCTAGACGACCAGCCTGGAATTGAATATTACGAGAACGGTTAATCCGACTGGTGCCTTGTTTGCTGGTTTTGCCGTGGGTGTCTGTGTTCACGAGGTGTACAAGCTGACTGGGTGCGGCAAGTGCCATGGCTGGTCGTAGCAGCATGCAGTGTTGCAAGCCTAGCGCTGCTGTCCAAGCCAAGACGTCGCCCAAGCCCGCCGCGACTGATAAGGTGCAGGAGGTCGTACCGTCTGAGAAGCTTTTGGTTTTCAACGTGACATGGCTGTTCGAGTGATTCGCTGCTGTCCTTGCGTGTGTTGCTACTGATCTGGAGAAAGAAGTCGGGGTGGCATGGTGGTGGTGGTTTCATGACTGCAGCTCGAGGTTGACCGGCCGACTACCTACAGTAGTGGAAGCCTGCATAGATCCGCCTAGGTTTGTGTGTTCCTCTGTGTCGGGCCGATTTGGGCCGAGGTGTCCGACGGATGGGGGCCGCTTTGCAAGTTCCTTGGCATGCCTGTGCCATTCGGCGAGTTCCCGAACCTCAATCATGGCACCAAGGTGCCATGCCAATAGATTCCGAACCTCGAAGGGATCCAGAGCCCTTCAACACGAATTTAATTTTTTGTTGGCGCAGGCGCAAATTTGGGGCTACTTGCTGCACTTCGTTTGCTGGACCTGGCCCGCATATCCCATGCTCTTGTTCCGCCATGGAGTCAAATGCATGTGCCGCGCCTGCCAGCGCAAGGGGCGCAAACAGTCTTAAGATGCTCGGAAAAGCGCGTGCTTGCCCCCAGCTGTGTTCGGCACATGTCACGGTTCTCGCAATCAAAGGGGCGTGGAGATGCTGTCGCTGGGCCCAAAGACGCCCGCAGGCTCGCAGCTTCGACCAAAGACTCCTCACCCAGATAATTAGGAATGCACTCCTTACTTGACACTGAGCACCAAAGATGCCTCATACAGCCCACGAACTCCTCTAGGACTTCATGGCCGGTACAGGTGTTCGAGAAGCGCAATAATTCCTTGTAGGGGTTTCCTCCTCGCTGTTGGTCGTGAACCACGCACCTAGATCCATGCGACGGGCATGGCTGATAGCTCTGCTGGTAGGGGCCGTCTTCTCCATTGTGCTCGAACGATACAGTACACTGCGATCCAGCGCGACATCTAGCAAGGCAGAGAATAGCAAAACCAGCCCGCGAACATCACCCTCGGGCGTCAAAGACGTGCCACAGCTCCTGCGAGACCATGCTGGGCTGTATCTGGACAAGACCCGCGCACCTGAACTGAGAAATGCGCTGCTTCTCACAGCTGCGAACTTCGGCTACATGGACATGCTGCGGAACTGGGAGTGTTATGCAAGAAAGCTCGGTTTGGATTGGCTGGTCGTTGCGCTAGACGACAAAGTCTATCATGAGCTTGGCCCAGAACGCAGCTTTCCAACTGTTGGCGAGCGCCACGGGTCCTACGAACGCTTTGGAAGTCCTGGTTTTAAGATTGTGGGATGCAACAAGCTGCGGTCAATGTTGTATGTGCTAGCGGAGACACAACTGGATGTGGTGTTCTCAGACGGCGACAGTGTGTTCAAGAGCGACCCCTTCTTGCCGTCACTCTCGCTTGGAAGCATGATGCGCTCGGGAAAGTACGACATGATCTACGGACGCAAAATCACACCACCAGGAGTCAAGAAAGATGAGTACCATCAAGAACCAATTAAGGGTAACACTGGTTTCTACTATGTATCAGGCGCAAGGAAACCGCGGATCATGCAGCGCATGTTCAACATCAGCATTCAGTGGTGTGACAAGCGGCCCGACCAAGATGACCAAGAGAATTTCTGGGATGCACTTGTGGTCGAGCGGAAGCGGAAGCCGAAAGACAAGGAGTTTTTCGCGTGTTTCCGGCACTGCGACAGCAGCCAATGCAGCGGCATCGAAGCAGACAAGGTCTTTGACTACTGTGACATGAGTCCTTGGGAATACTTGGACGGTGCGATCCAGCCGACAGATGCTCTGAAGGCACCGTATCACATGGTGTCCTATCACGCCACGTGGGTTTTTGGCAAGGACGCCAAGCAGCAGAAGCTGAAGACCGTTGGGCTATGGGACCCTGCATGTGCGAGCACAAGCTTCATGGGTAACGCTGTGGTGCCAGCCTCGCCACCACTTTCCGCCTCAGTGGTGCCCCAAACTGTGCAAAGCGAGACCGCAGTTGCACAAAGTGGACAACTTCCACAGCTTCTTCGAAAACATGCTGGGCTGTATCTAGACAAGACCCGCGCACCTGAACTGAGAAATGCGCTGCTTCTCACAGCTGCGAACTCAGGCTACCTGGACATGTTGCAGAACTGGGAATGCTATGCAAGAAAGCTCGGTTTGGATTGGCTGGTCGTGGCACTTGATGACAAAATCTATCAAGAGCTTGGCCCAGAACGCAGCTTTCCAACTGTTGGCGAGCACCACGGGTCCTACGAACGCTTTGGAAGTCCTGGATTCATCATTGTGGGATGCAACAAGCTGCGGTCAATGATGAAGGTTCTAGTGGAGACGCAATTGGATGTGGTGTTCTCAGACGGCGACAGTGTGTTCAAGACAGACCCATTCTTGCCGTCACTCTCGCTTGGAAGCATGATGCGCTCGGGAAAGTACGACATGATCTACGGACGCAAAGTGAAGCCACCAGGACCCACGAAAGATGAGTACCACCAAGAACCAATAAAGGGCAACACCGGCTTCTACTATGTATCAGGCGGCAGGAATCCACGAATCATGCAGCGCATGTTCAACATCAGCGTTCACTGGTGCGACAATAGGCCCGGCCTGGATGACCAAGAGAATTTCTGGGATGCACTCGTGGTCGAGCGGAAGCGGAAGCCGAAAGACAAGGAGTTTTTCGCGTGTTTCCGGCACTGCGACAGCAGCCAATGCAGCGGCATCGAAGCAGACAAGGTCTTTGACTACTGTGACATGAGTCCTTGGGAGTACATCGATGGAGCCGTCGATCCCAGACTTGCTTTGCAGGAACCATATCACATGGTGTCCTATCATGCCACATGGGTTATTGGAAAGGAAGCCAAGCAAAAAAAGCTGAAGGGTGCGGGCCTTTGGGACCCTGTGTGTGGGAAAACGTGATGCTGGATCGGACATGAAGGATGTTCGTCTACTTCCAGGAATAAGTTCGCCTCACACGGTGACTGGCACGTCTATCTTGATGCGGCAACAAGATCGAACCACGCACAGTTCTCTCCGACATGATGACTTGCCCCAGTGGAAGCGCGCATGGATGTCGAAAGCGGCCAAAGGCACGACTCGACTGGATGCTGCTCCCACGTTCCTCACGAACATGCTCAAGTTGACTTCCCGATACCTTCGTGAAGACCGTGAAGAGATCGGTGATGTGGCAGAAGGACCCGATGCCCAGAAGGAAGAAAAGCTTGTTTTTCTTGGCATCATGCCACTTGCGCGAGATCTTTCGGCTTCGCGCCTGTATGCGCCTGTAGCTCCATGCATTTATGGAAGAGCCCAGGCGAGCTGCTGGCTGCCTGCCATGCAGCAGAGGAGCAGCTGCGGAACGATGCCGACACGCAGGCGCATTGCCGAGGAGTGTTCGGAAGTTTTCACAGGGCGCAATACTGTCAATGTCAACAGGGTTCCGGGACATCTCCGCAGAAGCAGCAGGAGAGCGCTAGCTTGCTGCGCAGTGGAATGTCTTCCCTGCAGCGCCATGGTTGTTTTGAAGCAGGTGTGCCGAGACGAAGGTAGCCAGTCCACCCCATGCCGTACACCTACTTCACTTCCACGAAAATTCGTGCTGCAGCACAGTGTAGATACGTAGATACGATATCAGTTTAGTCTTCCTGTATCGTCTTACTAAGGTTGGTCAGCAATGCCACTCGATGTGTGACAACGGCTGCCGAAGCAGTGTGGTCTGAGTTTTTCGCAGCAGTGCACAAACAGACAGTTTTCGGCTGTGTGCCGCTTGACCCGTGTGGAACACATGGTGTCTCGGGGTTTCAAACTGACTTGTGTGCCAGAGCTATCCTCATTAGCTTAAAGCTGTGGTTGTTCATAGCCGTGAAGTGCCGACTTCAATACTTTTCCTGTGCTGCAGCCGCCCCTGTATCTGTGGGGGCTTGAGGCCACATGTATTGCTGGCACTTCGTTCTGTAATGCTTATGCGCGTCATGGGAAAATCGCATGTTATAAGGGCCTAAGCCGAAGCTGCCCGAGCAGATGCACGGAACTTCGTGCTGCACGGGGAAGGTCGCTCACAAGCGCCTGGGGGCTCAAATGTTGTATGGGGAGTGCAACAGCAACCGCCAGCACAGCCACTTCTGGGAGAAAATCTGGCGCCTCGCTCTGGTCTGAACTCTGAATCCGCATGCATGTCCCTCACACACATGCTGGCCGTGGAGAAGTCCTTTTGCACGTACCGCAGGGCTCAGCCGAGGTTGACCTGTAGTAGCTGGCGCCTTGTGTGCATTGCGTGGCCTCGCCGGTCAGTCCCCCAGCTACACCAAACCAATTTCAAGCAGCTGCAGTTGCAGTCTCCTCTCAGCAGCCCGTGTCATGGTATATCTTCTCGACTGATTAGGCCTCGCCGTTTTCCAGAGGCACCATTTCTCGCTTGGCACTCAGCAAGAGACAGTAAGACTCTTGCTGTTCTGGACTCTCCGTCGTTGCGGAAGTTCACCCGAGCTGTGCAAGTGTCAGGTTCCAGACCGTATTCACCGCAGCCGTCCGGTGCCGAGTTTCCTCCTTCGGGCTAAGAGCTAGCCAAGAAGTAGGCTCTGGACTCGATGCAGCGCCCTGCATGCGCAGGTCCTTTCCGCCCTTGCCCAAAGCCCCACCGTCGGGGGGAGCTAGTCCGTTGCGTCGCATCCTGAATCACACAAGGGCTCGAACCTGCTATGGTGATCCGCATGATCAGCAGGAGATGTGCTTCGAAGCGTAGCACCAGATGGAGGCGCGGCCAAGCATTGTGCAGCTGTGAAGTGCTCTCGTCGAGACCAACTCGGATGCTTTCTCAATCTTGCTCTTGTTGCCAGTGCGACCGGACAGTCCGCTCACAGAGCGCCGTGCGGCGCTTCGCAACCGAAAGCTCGAAGCACAGCTAGAGGCAGACGGCGTGGGGCACCAAGCTGACAGACATGTCCAGATTCCGAAACATCCCAGACGCGAGGGTGAGGCATCAGGGCGTCATGGCTCATTAGTCGATGAGCTGAATAGGCTTCCGTGTTGGCCGAACAGGTCCAGTTGGTCTCCTGAGGGTCCTAGAGTCCTAGAGATGTGGTATCGATGTTGTTTTTGCCGCAATGCACAATGCACCGCTTTTTCGGAGCATACGAACCTCCTCTGGCTGTATCCGAGATCGAAAGCCCACTTCCCAAAATCCAAAAAGAACAGAAGCCTCGCCCTGTTCGCCAAGCCGTGAGAGTCGAAGACAGAAGTTGCTGTGTCTCAAAGGAATCCTTGGAAGAGCCGCAAAGCCCCAAGTGCCGCAAAGTTGCCAGCTCCCCAGGGACCTGAGACGAACAGCAGCTCCTTGCCGCTTGCAACCACATCGACTTGCTTCAGGAAGAGCTTGAGGCCAAGCATGCGGAGGAGTCGAGCAAGTTCTTCAAAGAGCGACTGGCTCAGAGCAGGGGCGGCTTGATCTCACTTCGTCTTGGCATCTGCGACTTGTCGAACTGTCTGGACACCGACCCTTGCTGCGGCCCAGTGCAGCCTTGACACACCATACCTGAGGATTGAGCATCTCAGAAGGGCATTGACGAAGCTGCGCAACTCTCGGAGGGCATTGTCATCCGCACCAGTGTCACAGCGTGCTCGACAAAAGTTGCAAAGTCACTATAAGTTCTGCACCTAGTCTGGATGCAGCTTCTATGCACATGCCCGCCGTCTTCCTGCGCTCTCTGAAGGCATGTCGCCCACACATCATGTGGCAGAATGTGTTTCCGGCTATTTCGTGTGTCCGGGCCGGGAAGGAGCAGCTCCAGTTGGATGTGCGGTATTTGACCAAGCCGGAAAAGGGTGAGGGCGGGCTGGAGTCTTACGGATTCTGTCGATGTTCCTCGTGGCTGCTTGCAAGGATGCCCGTGAGAAAAAGCTCCAACACAGGATTCTTCCGCCGGTGCCCATGACCGAGATCGTGGACCAGACAGAACTCATCGAGGCATCCTTCTTTGGCTGGCATTCGGACACGGATCCGAGCCAATTCTGCATGCTTGCCAGTCCTTGCGAAGACGAATCGCGGAGCTGGAGAAGGAGGTAGGTGAAACGTTTTGATCTCTTGCATCAAAAGCCATGCGATGCATGTTCGCAGCCCGGCCACTGTGTCAGAATGGCACGCAGAGCCGCACCATCAGAGATCTCGAGGAAGAGCTCAGAAAGGCAAGGCTAGGATCTACTTTGCCAGAGCTAAATCAGTGCACGCACGAGAAGGCACAGGAAGCTTTGCGGGCTGCAGGAGCGCCGGTTCGAACCCTTGCGCAACGGTTTCCGGGCTTCGGGAGAGAGCGAGAGAGAGAGAGAGAGAGAGATCTTTTGACTGAGGTCACCAGCCCTGTTCGCAAGCGACAGCTGCCGGCTTCCAAAGAGCATCTGGGCTTACTTGGGCCTGGCCGCGACAGGTGCTGCATTTAGTGGTAGCGCAGGTGCCAGACCGATCCCTGGGCGCCTTTTCCACAGAAGGGGCCAGAGGTTGTCCAGCCAGGCATGCGGAACCATCGAAGACGCATCAGCATCTGATTTTACTAGATTCGGTCTAAGTCTGTGACTCACTCGTGTTTTCCTGCCATTGGCGCTGCGAACCTGACATAGATCTGACAGGCAGCAGAGGTTTTGATTCTGCGTTGTCAGGTGAGCCCCGTCCGCAGCCTGTGCAACAAGTTGACCCAGGCGTTTGACATCGTTTGAGATAGTTGACGCTGACAGTCGAACCAGACATGAACGCTTGATGACTCACGAGCAATGCACGTGCTCAGCGCGTTTCAACAATGTGGCGACCAGGACCGAAGCCCAAGGCACCAAAGAAGAAAGGCAAGGGACGCAGTGTCCAGGGGTAGCTTGACCGTGTCCCCCATTGCACGATTGCACGGTGATTCAACACGAGGCCCTGTAGCTCAAGCAGAGAGCAGCAGCAGCGAAGAAGAGGTGACACCAAGATTAGTTGGTGAATTCCCATTCAATCGTTGCCATATAGTCAGCGGGCCGACTGTGCAGTGATTTCAGGTTGAACAGGTTAGCACCAAACCTGCTGTACCCTCAGCTTTCTCTGCAGGCTTGCAGATATTTCAAGCTCGGGTATATGAAGCAAAGAGATCGAGCGACGCATTGCACCACCTGAGGTCAAAAGAAAGCCAAAAAAAGAGGAAGGAGCCCCCGTCACAGACATGTAGCCTGTAGTTTGTACGTCTGGAAACCAACACCATCTCCCTTTCTCCCAGTCTCATGGGCCAGGAGAGAAAATCCGAGAGGTCGTCGCCCATGCCTTACTACTCTCCATGACATGCTATCTTTATCACCGGCGAGCTGTCTTGCCGAGGACCATGATGCCATCAAGAGACTACAAGCAGAACTGGAGAGCTTGTATGCTGTGTCTGCTTTATGAGACTGGGTCGGCATTTCGATGGCCAGAAACAAGCATCTGTTGTTGGTCCAGCTCATGTTTATCAGGAGCTCCTTCGTATGAAACTGGCCGCGGCAGAACGAGAGCTTGCCAAGATGGAGGCAACGGCCTCATGCTTTCGGCTCCTCGAATCAGGACAGCCCGCGTCTGCCAGGGCCTGAAAGAGGAGATTGAACGATTGAAGCAGCTTCTTGCCGAACGTGTCGGGGACCCAGACCTGTGATCGCTACTTGTACCACACTGCCCCCTTGTGTACAGAATGTAAGAAGCAACCGTTGATGGCAATCTCATTTCGAGAGGATGTCTCTAAGCGACCTACTCGTAGGTTGCATGATGTAAACCTCAGCTAACCACTAACTCCAATCCTTTCGATGCTTTGAGTGTCAAGGCTGCAGTGGAGTAGGCGAAGCACCCAGCCTTGCTGCATCATGTGCATGACGGTTCTCAGGATGCACGAATCGCGGAGTTGGAGTGTGGATCTCAGCAAAAATATCGGGAAAGATGCTCTCAGTTGGCATCTTCCTGAATGGCATTCACTCCAAAATTCCAAAAAGCTGCGGCATCGCATCATTCACATCTGCACCGGACCGATATTGAGGCAGACGTAGGCCACGATGAATTGAGAAGAAGAATCAGGAACTGTGCACTTAGAATGAGGAAAGTGTAAGAGTGCAGAGAACAGCACCAGTCGCAGTGCCTGGCGACTGGAGGGTGCAAGAGCCGGCTGCTGCATGTTATTCCGCCCTTGGCCAGGGAAGAACTCCGAAAGCTGAAGGAGAAGCAAAAGCCAGCAAAAGCTGAAGGCCAACGGTATCGGCAGGTAGCTGTAAGATGCTGTAAGATGTGGGTGCTGATAGGCAGGTTGGCAGCTGTCCAGAGTATGCGCCCGAACCCAGGGAAGAAGGAGACCAAGAAGCCAACGGTGGTTGCGAAGGAGGCGGGCAGCGACTGACCTACGAAAACTTGTGGTGTACCCAGCAGCATCCAGACCCGTTTGTTCCCCGACCATTAAAACACTCCAGAGAGCATGCCTCATTCTGCTTTCCGCACAGTCGAGAGTCCGGGCCTTCTCAGGCTCAAGGTAGTGTGCTGTCCCTAGATGAGGTCTCGAATCTTCGATCTGCCGAGGCTCTACAATGGGCGGGTCCCAGAGTCAAGACACTCCGACAGCAGCGGCCAGCGGTGGATCAGCGGCCCCGTCCAGCTCTGCCGTAGTAAAGTTAAACGTATACTCCCCGTCAGGTGGGCAACATGCTGCTTACCACTCGGGGGTTGAGCTGTACGGTGGCGAATATGTCTTCGGGGGCGGCGACTCGTCCTTCAGTGGTGTTACGGTGCAACGCCCCCGTGTCCCTCCTCCTGGGAGTGGCTGGGTGTTCTACCAGTCTGTGGACATAGCACCCTGCCGCAAGTCTCGAGATGAGGCCCTCCGGATCATCCAAGACATGCGTGCCGAATTCCCGGCTTCTTCTTACGACCTGATGGCGAGGAACTGCAACCACTTTTCCGACGCCCTGTGCCAGCGACTGTGCAACCAGGGCATCCCATCTTGGGTGAACCGTTTGGCAGGCCTTGGCAATGCCGTGCGGAGTGCAGTCGGCGGTGCCCCGAAAGCAGCGCCCAAGGCCAAGGCCGAGGGTGCTGGTGGCCCTGCGGCTGCGGGCCTCGTGGCACGCTCGGTGGATGGAGATCTTCTGAGCGAGGTCGACTGGCCCAGCGCGGGCGTCCTGAACGCGTCGGAGTCGGATCCCACTGAAGCTTTGCGGTCTGGAGGAGTCAGCTCAGATGCAGATGGCTCACCTGAACTGTTGCTGCTGTTGCCGTTCATCTCGCCCGTGAAGCTGCAGAAGCTGGTTCTGGAGACCAGCATGGACAGCGCTCCAAAAGCCCTCCGGCTTTTCGCAAACAGCCCAAATCTGGACATGGATGATGCTGCTGGGGGCGCTGCAACCCAGGAGTTCGGCGATATCAACTGGGCAGGTACAGGGCCAGCGGCGACTGCCACGATAGATGTGAACTTCCTAAAGTTTCAGAAGCTGAGCTTCTTGGCCGTCTATGCCAAGGGGGATGAAGACTCTGGCCACCAAATCAAGATCAGCAAACTTGGCCTCGTTGGGAAAGCCTAGGCCTAGGCCGAAGCTGCACGGTGCAAGAAGCGACACGGCAAACAACAGCTTTGCCAGATTATGCCAGGGCGCTCAACATTCAAAAGCACATGGCTCGCGGAGTTTGCTTTAGCTGGAGTTTCCGTAGGCTTGGGGGCGACCTGCATAAAAGTTGACGGCTGAAGCACGCAGTGCTACCTGACATGACCCAGGAGCCAGAAAAGAAAAAAGAGAAGAAATACAAGCAAGATCCCGTGCCACCCCAAAGGGGCAGCGACCTCAGTTCAACGTGGTTGTGCAGTGGGAGACGAAACATTGATGGAGCCAAGCAAGATCGAAGCTTTTGAAACTTCCGGGCGAGAACTGGCTACGGCTCAAGCTCCGGGTTTTGCCGGAGTCGTGCCATGCCAAAGAGAAGCATCTTCAATCGCGGGTTCAGGCCTGTCATCATTGCCTTAGGCCTTAGATTTTGAGATCATTTCGACTTCAGAGCCTCCCTTGTGGTGCTGACCTCCGAGCTGCACAAGCTGAGACCTCGTCTGGCAGTGACCGAGTTGCGAGAGCGTAAACCTGCTACTGTAGTATTTGCGGCACTTACTGGATGAGGTCTTAGTATGTAATTTGCCAAGCTGTAGTAGCAGAAACTGCAAAGGGTGATCGGAGCAGGCAAGCGAGGGCATTCCACTTCAGTAGTAAGGAGTAGGACTTTGTGTGACCAATCAACCGACAAGGATTCCGCCAGAGTGGCATTGCGACTAGTTGACTAGCACTTGTCGCAGGCCAGAGCCGTTCAAAGAGCAACTGCCAGTTAGATTCGCATAATGCGCATAACCTGGCCTACAATGGTCACCAAAAACATGTATCAGGCATGAACGAGCTGCAATGTGAATTAGATCTCCTTCATGCCAAAGCTGGGTTCGAAGTTGTTGGTTTGGAAGCTCATCATCACGAACATACTCGTACCTTGCAAGGATTGTCCGAGTGAGAACCCGTTATGCCACATCTGACATGCCAAGGTCCGGTAGCGGCCCCCATCAGTGAGGCTCCAAAAGAAGAGGAAGCTCCGCACACCCCGGCACGATTCTCGCATGCGCCTTCAGGAGATTCTTAATTTTGAAATGTTTTCGGCAGATACAGGGTCGAAGAGGCCGCTTGCAGGAGGCGAGCGTGGACAATCAAGCCATGTACTATATTGTTTGCTTCCCTGTGCACAGCCCGTTTCAGCACAGGGGGTACGTGCAATACCGAAAGTTACGGTGGACCTTGCTTCGGCGCATGACAGCCAGGCCCCCTGTCGAGACGCCAGAGGAGGCACCTGAGGCCACGAGTGTATACCGTGTGATTTCACTCCTCGCAAACCAGCCCAGCTTGCGTTGCCAGCGAAGGATCTGATAACATGCAGTGTAGTTCAACTTCGACAGTATTCTGACTAGCCTTTTGATGCACCAGGTGGTGTCGGAGTCTGAGGAGGAGACGGTAGAACCGTGACAAGTAGCTTGTTTTGCCTACACGCCGTGTTTTGCCGCTTTGCGTTGTCCGTCAGGAGAGCGTTGAAGAACCGCCACCTCCGAAGGCAGATGCCAGTCGCCAGTCGGGGAGCTGCCCCGTTGACTTCTGTGACATTGAACGATTGGACAACAGCAGCAGCAGAACTGCGCGGACCACCTCCCAAGCTTATTCTTAGACTCGGGAACCTGGTCATGGGCCACCGGGCTGCCACAAAGGTAGGGCAGGCTACACCATTCAGGCTGCCGTTTTACGTGCTTCGCATAAGAATGGCGAAGCTTGCCTTTGTGTCCTTGACCCTGGTAGAGAAGTGCTCCTCAGGCTTCTGAGTCTCACCTTGGTGAAACGCCCTCCCTCAAAGCGTACAAGCAGATCAGCCTTTTGCATGTCAAGAGACCTCCATGCCTGAATGAACCCTGCCGAAATTGGAAGTTGTCGCGCAGCCACCGAGGCCGGCCAGTAGAACGGGCGAGCAACAGCATGGCGTAGGCGGCGGGCACTCTGGAACCCACAATACCGACAAAACATACCTCCACGGAGAGGAGAAAACACCGTCAAAGTGGAACCTCCTGGTCACGATTTCCCTCGATAGAATCCGAGAGAATCCAAGGAGCTGTGGTCAGTGTGTGTGTGTGTGTGTGTGTGTGTTTGTGTGTTGTTGGTTGCGAATTGCTGAAAGTGCTCCTTGGCAGGTCTTCGAGGACAAGTGTGCCTGCAGCTTGTGATTTTCTGATGATGGTCAAGGATGCCGAACATCTCAAGACTCAAGACACCCGCCCCCTCGATAGTTCCCAGTGCTTGATATAAAGCACTGTCACCCAGGTCGGAAATGGCCCAGGTAAGGGTTTGCAAGATGAGCTCGGGCCTGAGTCAAGAACAGGAACCAAAGAATACAAGCGACATCCGGCAAGGGGAAGGGTAGGATCGGATGGCATGTTGTTTCGAACCCGGTATCTTTGAGGCCGATCGTCTGCAAGGGGCGCGGCCTGCAAAAGACGGATGAAGATCTCAACAAGACCGGGCAGACGTCTCAGCTCACAACAATCGGCAGATATCGGCAGGTTGTTGCTGCCACCGGTAAGATGCAATGCAGGTTAGTTGGGAGAGCACTAGGATCCTAGACCTCCAGTGCAAAGTCGGAGGCGGTGTTACGAGCTGAATCTGGTCGAGCAACCCAAGCCTGTGCCTGAAGTCAGCTTCTGGTTAGCCAGATGGCAATGCATCCCGAATTCGAGAATATGCGCGGCTCTGTGACGTGAGTTGCATTGGAGGCTGGGTCTCATGAATTCCGGGAGCCTGGTGTGGAACTCAGCTTTTGCCAGCTGCGCAACATTGCATCGCATCTACGCGTAGAACTGCCGAGCTGCTTCCGCTTCGGGAGCCTCCGGAGGCCACCATCGATTTGGACGGAAGCCTGGCTGAAGGCTCAGCTTTTCATACACTGCTCACTAATTCTGCGAGAAAACGGACGAACTGGTAAGATGGCGAATCACTCGGGGTGCTTTGACATGTGCCGCAGAAGGCTAAGCCGCATGCTGCAGGCTGCTCAAGTCTCATGCTTTCTTTCCGGCCGTCATGGGTTTGTTGCGGTCTCTTTTCGTGGCTTTCAGCGCTTTTGGAAAATGGAAGCCCGCACGTCGATAGTAGGACCAACATCCATCGGCATTGTGCCGGACTTTGCAATGCTGTAATCGGGAAGCACATGAGGCAACATGGGCTCTGACAATTACTAACAGTGAGGATTTGGACTGCCTCGGGAGATGAACCCCCGCAGCAGCAAATCTGATTTCATTGTGCTCCACACTCTTCCCCATCAGATGTCAAGACTCTACATATCTGATTGTAAGCTCGGAGAGCACTCCATGCCAATGTTAGCTTACTGGGTTCTAGTTTGATAAAGCACAGAAGGTTCGCCCGAAGGGCCACAGTGCCTTGCAAGTTCACCGTGTGCCCACGAGACGGCACTGAGGCTCGGACTGGCAAAGGAGGACGTGCTGGTGGTGCTGGTGTGTACTCGGGAGGTTCGGTGCCGCAGTTTGTTGCTGCTGTGGCCGGTTGCAGAATCTTGCCCGGGAAATCCTTGTCACATCTTATCACAACAAAGGGCCGGGAAAGCATCCAAAAGGGCCGGGAAAGCATCCATGTCTCACATCCACGGAGGCAGTACGCTTTTGGGAGGCGTCCAGTTCGTCCATAGCTTGGTCGCGAAGATGTCGGAAAGCTTGAACAAATTCGGCTTGAATCTCAAGGCCAGCTCTTGGGGCTCCAAGTCGGCCGGCCGCCTCCTGGTGCCGAGCCCTGCTTTTTGAAGGGGTGGGGTTTAGGGTCTAGGATGGTCTAGGGTTTAGGGGTTTCGGGTTTAGGGGTTCTGGGGTTTTGGGTTTAGCTTGGCGCTGGCCGGCACCTCAGTCGTGCTGAAAGGGTTTAGCTTTGGGTGCACGAGGCCAACACCTGGCCTGATGCGGAGCCTTACTTGGCACAGGCACAGTTACGGTCCTGTCCAGAGTGGTTTGGATGTTTCAAGGTATCTGGAATATGCAAGGTGTGGGAGCAGCACCCGAAGGGTCATAAAGCGCCAGTCAAGCAGGGGGCCTCAGATAGAGCGAAATCCCAAGATGCCGGAGCCTGACATTCAGCTTTGCAAACAGGCGCGAGCTCATCAAGCTTGGAGCTATTTCTCCACACAAAGCGTGGGTACCTCGTTTCCTCGGCCCGCCTCCAGAAGATGGAAGATGCATCGAACTTCAGGTCCACGACTAGTCTTCAATCTGTCGAGTCTTTGGGTGGCGCCTCAAAAATTTACCAGCTGTCAGTTGGATTCCAGCGTGCTTCAAACGGGAGTGGGCAAACAATCCCATGGAACGAGGTGGTTCTGGGCAGAAGTCTTTGGCGAGCGACGCCACGGTCAAGTTCGAGGTACTGGAAGTCTGGTCCCGAGAGCAGCTCAATCTTGCTGCAGACATACTCGTATCATCGCTGGTAGCTGGCACCCTTGCCTCTTCATGCTCGTGCAATCTTGAGGCAGCAGCCTCTTCATAGAAGATGATCTGCTCCAGATTGTCACCACAGATGTCCAATCAAAGATTGCATCTGGTCATATGTTTGAAACAGGGCACGCCATCTACCGGTCCAATGATAACATGTGTTGCTGTAGTGAAGTGTCATCCCATAAAGGTATGCAGCTGCAACAGCTGCAACCAATTTGAGTTTATTTCTGTTTTGTGGTGTGCATTATCCGATCTCTCAAACAGACGAGCCAAGCTCACTCTGACAATGTCGAGTATTCATAGCCGTAGCCCCTCGAAAGAGGTTGCAAACTGCCAGGAAAGCTTGCCGCAGCTGTCATAATTTAAGCGACGTTGCGGCGTGATATGTGCGTAAAAGACGAAGATGCGGGAATCACTCTTGCATACTGCTGGCCTGCACACAACCCCCGAAACGGCCTCAAAATCGGATGTGCTGCCGCCTTCCCTGTGGCTACTGCTTATCGGGAGCTCATGTAAAGCTTGCAGATGCAGGACATGCACTGTGCTTGACAGCTACTTAAGTCTGAGCCTGACTGACTTGCACGACAAGCCTCCAGAGAAAACATGGATCGATCCTAGAATTTACAGCTGATTCGAGCAGTGGGTACAGGTATCGTGCCGCCTGTGTCCGAAGTTGTTGACTCAACCTGACCTTTCCTCTTGCGGCAGCTTTCGAGTTACAGGCACGGATGTGGGGCGCTTGTCGCAGCAGCTGCCCCTGGCAACAACTTTCTGGATTCTTGTTTCTGCCAACCTCGCGATTGGTCGTTTTGTTCCTGTCTTGTTCCAGGCAGAAACGAATGACTGTCCCTAGCTAGCTACTTCTTTGTTCGGCATTTTCTACACGTTCTCGTTTTGTCGAGCTACCCTTCATTGGTGGCACAGTCGTGGCTGCTGCTGTGTTGTCACGAGGCAGAGCTCACTGGGGCGCATGCTTGCAGCTATCTGATTGCAGTCGCACCCACACACACAAGCACGAACGCAAGCGCAAACAGGAACAAGCACACACACACACACAAACAACAATGATGAACAAGCAAACACACAACTACACACAAGCCTGAAAGCAAGCCAACACACAAAACAAACAAACATATATACACACACACACACAGCAGGGGTGAAATACGATGGTGTTGGTAAGGGTGATGATAAGGAAAGTGCTCGGACGCCTCGCGTCTTCGCACTTATGAAATGAACGTTTTGTGCCAAGCATGCCAGACATCAAGAAAGGCATGAAAAACGAGATGAGATGATCTGTGAGGGTATGGGTCCTGCCCCACTGTATGAGACACGCGGAATCGCACAGAACGAAATGAGATGAATGTGAACATGAAGATGAGGGTCCCGCCCACTGCCCACGACGGGGCCCAGGCGCCGACCAAAGCAGGTACGTTTTCCTGGGGTGTAGGGGAGAGCTTCGTTGGACGGAGCTCCGCTATACCCCTTCCGTGCCCCTGCAAAAGGATTAAGATGGGTGGTGAGCCCCGTATCTCATGCACGAGAGAGGTGCACACGCACACACACACCCAGCACACACATACACCCCAACAAACACAAAAGCAAACAAATAAACGGTAACAGACGACCAAGCAAGCAAGCAAACAAAACAACAGACAAACAACATACAAACAAACAAGAAACACACCAAAAAAACATACAAGAAACCAGCCAACCGAGCAAGCAGGCAGGTAAACAGGCAAACACACAAACAAACACACGAACAAACACACACTAACACACACCAACACACACCAACACACGCAACACATGCAACACACACGCAACACACACGCAACACACACACACACACGCACAACAAGCATAACGCATGCACACAGCAAACACACACACACACAGCAAAAACAGCAAGCACGGCAAACACCTCCCACGACAAACATAATGCACGCACACAGCAAAAACAACACACACAGCACAGAACACACACACACACAGACGAAGGCAAGAACCATAGACCGAAGAATGTCAGGAGCGTGTTGTGTATTGTGTGCACTTGTCAGGACGATGGTCCGGATACGCCCCGGCTCAGGCATGGCAGCGAAACACCAGTGAATCCAACTCTATCAACTGATTTCAAGTCAGCATGACTCGAGTGGAAGCCCAAAATTTCTGGACTCCTCGACACCAGGCTTGGACCGGGTGTGACAGCCTCAGATTGCCGTATTTGCAATCATGGTCCAGGGTCCACGGTCCACCACAGCTTGCTCTGGTACTTGCTGTCACTCGCAAATCAAATCCCGTTTGGCTCTTTGGCTCGGGAGCTTGCGAACAAAGACTTAGAGAACTTGAAGAGCTGTCCTGCCTGCTACCGGGCTGCTACCGTCGACTTGCATACCCAATGCGGGTAATACATACAGCCCATCTTCAACCAGATGGTGCCTGCACTGCACAGGCCATTAAAGGACTGATGCAGGCTTGTCTGACCGATGGCGCTGATCTTAGTGAGGGTTACGAAGCAGGACAGTAGCAGCATTACTGGATGTAGCCGGCTGTCCTGTTGGGCCTGCAAGGCTCTTTCTAGAACTTAAATGGCGATGCATTTGCCTACGTGGAGTAGGAGCGTCATTGTTTTGCCCGAACTGCACTCGCCATGGCCGGTGGCCTGGCCTTGGATGCAGAAGATGGGGTGGCGGTCTTGCGCGGGGAGGTCCGCCGCATTCTGGGCGCTGCACTCAGCTCTCCGCCATGCAGACACGCACGTGTGAAGCCGTTGGCTGACTTGTTGCAGCAGTGCCAGGGCTGCAGACGCCGGAAGAGCTCTTGCGGGGCCTTACGGGGAAGGAGCAGCAGTTAGATTGGCAGGTCATTCAACCTCCAACTGATTGTCAGCAGACGCTAGCATCAATTCCAGTGCTGTCGCACGTCGGGACCGTTGTTTTGGTGCGTCATTCGGCGAGGAGCTGCAAGAGATGCTCTCCGAAGCTCATGTGACGGCGATCCTCGTTGTGGTTTAGTCAGGGCTGTCCGAAAGACGCCATGATATTCTGAGAATTGGGGACCGCGATTGCGCGAATTTGATCAGGGCATTTAGCCGTCAAAGAGAAGCACTATGCGCTAGTCACTATGGTTTGTGTCGTGCTTCGTGGACGGGATTCAGCAGCCCCCTCCCAAGAATTGACTCGACTTTCCTTATCATACATACTCACAGTAGTCCCGACACCGCGATGCTGCTCAGGAAAGCGGCGCAAGCAAATGTTGTCGAAGCCTCGGTTACTGCATAGTCTTTGAAACAACTGCATCGACACGTGCAGGGGACAGCATGGTGGTCGATTGTTCCACTCACTGTCTTTGACGACGATGAGGTGTTAGCCCCTTTCCAACCGCCTCCTCGACCTCTTGGCGAGATTGAGGTCATGGGCTTTTCCACTTAGGAGTCCAGAATAAGCACAGTCGAGGAGGCCGTCGAAGCCTGCATGGACGAACAGCTGTCAGGCCGCACCGAAAGGACTGGCCAATTTGGGCAACACCTGCTATCTTGGCTCAATTCTTCAATGCCTAGCGTCACTCGGCATTCTTTGTTTCGTACTGTGCTTGGACGCGCCGCTACTTGGGTTCTGCAGGATGCAGCTGACTTCGTTGTCTGAGGCAGACTCAAACTTTCACGGCAGAACTGGCCGACCACGAAGGGCGACTGGGCAGAATAGGCCATGGGCTTTGATGGATTGCCTCACAAGCTTTGTTCCACGACTTACAGCGCACCTGGTCCAACAGGACACGAGCTGAACAGTGTTCTGGCCCAGTTGCGCGACATGGGACACGACCAGCCTTCCGTGGCGGCCATTCTGGGAGAGCTCGCCGGCAGGCCCCTTGCTGGTGACAGGTAGCTGTGCTCAGGTGCTGAAAGCAGTGCTGGGCTTTGCTCAGGTACAGCTGGTACCAGGGCAAGTCACAGCAGGATGCCCACGAGCTCCTCCGCACACTCCTGGGTGCCCTTGCAGATGAGCTCGAAGCACCCGAAGATCAGCAGAGCTGCTTGGGCTGCCCTCATGGTTCTGTCTTTTGCCTCGCTACCCTGCCACACTTAGCCGAGCCCCTTCAGGCTTGCAGCAAGTGGTGCAGAGGAGCTTCAGAGGTCAGATATGCGAAGCCATCCTCTGCTGGTCTTGCAGGCTCGACTGTCAGTGTATTGACTTAGTGACAGACCACGCAAGGATACGCAAGGGAATGTAGGTATCCGGCTTCAATGTCCCCTTGACATAGCAGAGTCCCCAGGCGGATCTCCCTGCGATGCGAAGAGTTTCTGGATTCTGGGCTGCATCTGGTCTGGAGCCGGGCTCCTCGCTTCAGCCAGAAATCTAGCCTGGTTTAGAACTCGCTTGCGTCTTGGCGAGGACTTGTCCTTGGACATTTCTGCCGGCGATGACGATCCTGGTCCCCTGGGTCTTCACGGCTGGATAATGCTGCTTTGCTGATTCGGAAGTGGAGATCTCGCTTGGTTTATCGTCACCTGTCCCAACGAGGAAGCCACTGCCACAGGAAGAACATGGTGACGAAGAGGATCTCCAGGCAGCTGGCGAGAAGGAAGCTGCAGAGCGACTTGGGTGCAGAAGTTTCAGAAAGTCACAGGACGTCACACTGGCATCCCTTAATGTGCAGTTTACGAAGCAAAACGTATTCCTGTGAAGGGGTGTACAGCTGACGAAGTCAAGGCCAGAGTCCATTGCAGATGAGTTCGACCAGTCCGTTCTTGAAGTTCAGTTGGATGCCCCGCAGCATGTCATTGTGGTCTAATTGGCGTGTTTTCGCTGGAAATAATCTGCCAAAATCAGCTCTGTTGCCGTGAGTCCTGCGAAGGAGCGCGTACCTGGACGACGGATTGCGTTGGGTCTGGACTGGGCCGAGACCCAACAGCATGGTTGCAAGGTCTTGCGTCGTGCCAGCCTCGGCATCATGCGGTGACTCACTCTATAGGGCTGGCATGCGGCATCATCCAGCACAAAACCTCATCGATCAAAGGCACCTGCTGTGATCAGGAGTCTTGCATGGATCCATGGTGGACACCTGGAACAAACGGCAAAGCGAAGAGCGCCGCTTGAGTCCTGGGCTCCTCCTCCTCTCAGTGAACGGTGCCTTGGCATGGGTAGTTTGCAGCATCCAAGATGCACTCGTCTTCCTCCGGGGTAGCTGTGTCTACAATTGGGGCTTGCACTCCACGCTTTCTCTCAGGCAAGGAAGACCAGGATGACATGATGCAGGTTGCTTTGTTGGCATGTCTTGATTTACACGGTTGACGTCAGATCTTGTCCGGCCGTTTGAAGGGCACAATAACCAGCGTTCCGAGTCACGGAGGCGTTGAAAGACGACCAGCGGCTGTTGCTTCGATTTGCATCGGCAGAAGCCGTGGCAGCTCGAAAGTCTGCGGCTGATGCGCAGGGCTTCCGCGTGGAGCTTGATGCTAGGATGCAAATTGCAGGAGGTTTCTGCTGGGGCAGTGGCAGTAAGGAGAACGGTGCCTTGCGTAGCGCACCTGAGGCCAGGGATTCCAAAGCTTCCTGGGGACTGCAGCTGGAACGCAGCCGGCTGGAAGACGGCTTGATCATCGTAGCACAAGTGATTCCAGACTCGATACTCGATGCTTGGAACCTGCGGTGCCAGTCAACTGGCCGTCATAAAGCTGTGGTGCACGTGCCGGACTTAGACCTTTTCAAGCCTTGCAGAAGTGCCAGCTGCCTGCACGACTGTTCTGTGAGTTCTGTGAGCATTGTGCTTGAAGGCTGGCGATCGGGTCCTGAAGGTGAATGATAGCGACAATGCGGACGAGATGTCGAAAAGCCTGACGGATCTCTCGAAGCGCAAGATTGTCCTGCATCTAGAGCGCGGTGAGGCAAAGAAGGCTGGTGTGCCGCAAGCGGACATCCCACCCGATCAAGCCGAAGATCCCGATGCGATCTTCCTGATTGAGCTGCAACCCACCATTCGGGGCGCAGGTGGCGGCTGGGGTTTTCAACTGGAGACTGGGGCAGGAGCTGCAGAAGTCAGAAATGTACTGGATGGCTCACCCGTGGCGATGTGGAACATCGCTTGTCGATCGCGAGGCAAGGGCCCAGAGTCGCTAGGGCGCTAGGGTCTGCTAGAGTTGAGATTGCATGGTCCGGCAACTTCTAAGACTCTAGGACTCACAGAAACTGATTTCTGTGATTATTCTGTGATTCGTTTTTTGATTTCATTTTTCTGTGATGGTCTGTTCTGGCGCCCGTGATTCGGCTGTGACCTGACTGTGAGTCGGCGGTGCCTTGGCTCTTGGAAAGGACGCGTTTTTAAGCCGAATCACATTTGGGGTCTAAAAATGAAGTGTCCAAGCCTGCATGTGCTTTGGATTTGATTTGGCTGTGATTTTGGGGGCGTGCTTCCGCAGCAGAAGTTCCGGCCAATGTATGAGCAACGGCGCAGACTTGTTTGCTTCCATGGGCAGGTGAAGAACATTTGTGTGTGGAAGCGGGGGATGTGCTGCTTGATGTCGCTGCCATAGACGCACCACCTGCGATGGCAAGTCAGACGTTCAAGCTTCGGCGATCCCGGGAAAGACAGGCCTTTGGACTGCAGAGATGTTGTGCCGTGATGCGCTCAGGTTCCTCTGGCTGTAGAGTCTCTGCTTGTAGGCTTCGATCCGGGCAATGCAGACCACCATGGTAGCTGCCGCAAAGCCGAAGCCAACGCCAGAGCTGGAGGAAAAGAGACAAAGCATGTTGGAGGTGCCTTGGCTGGCAATTCTTATGCACAGCCTCTTTGGTTTACTTAGCAGTGTAGCAAATCAGTTTGCAGCAGCCAGATTGCCTAATCAGATCCCATGTTCAGCTAAAGCCGCTTTCTCAGTCCAATGAAGCCTTTCTCACCCACCGCCTACAGCCATACCGGCGTAGACTCCCTCTCTCGTACCTTTGTAATGTAGGGCCCCAATCATCACCAACATGATTATTTAATGTCACCATTACCATAACATATTCCCACCATATGCCCCAAACTCAAACCCTGTTCTAGTTCTGAAGGCCCCTATACCCCAAAGCCCCCTGGAACCGTTATAGAACCGAAGGAACCCTTCGTAGAAACCCTCGTCTGGTCATTAAGGCCCCTAGATGACGTAGCTTTTTGAGGCTGCCGGCCAATGCGAGGCTGCGCTGCCTGCAGCCCTGGCCAAGGTTTTTGCCGCTGCCCCGCAGCCGGCAGCTACCAGCCTGGCGGACTGCCTCAGGCCGGTAGTAGTAGGAATCAGTAGAATATGGCTTTGGACTAGAATTATTCTTCTCTGACCAGATCAGGTCGTACAAGCAGATTTTATTTGCTTGTAACTGTCAAGGCGAAATGCTTTCATGGCACGGTTAGTAGTCATATCACGTAACAATGCTGGAATGCTCACAATAGGAATCCGAAGCAAGTGGTGCTGATCCTTGTTGCAACGCATCAAGCATGAAGGCTTAGCAAACGCAAGGGCCTAGTATTTAGTATGTAGTGGCGAAGGTAAAGTTCGACTATTCTGCTTCTTGCGCCAAGAAGAGTAGGCATCCTGCCACATGTAGTACAGCGAATGCTTCAGGAGTTTGGGCTCCATCGAAGCTTTAGAGGAGGACTTCTCGCCGATCTACAACTGTGTTCACTGCAGAAGCTTGCCTGAAAGTGCAGTCGCCCACAGAATTTGCGTCGAAACGTCCCAGGCACGGAGAAAGCATGCAGGCGCTTCGCTTCAAAGCGAGCTTGGCTGAAGCCGCCTTTGCCTCCGGTCGTGCCAGTCCAGCTGAAGAGAAGCTGAGCTTTACACCCAGGTGTATTGGTTGGTGTTTGAGGCTGTGGTGCAGGCATGTCGTGACATCGCAGCTGCAGAGCGAAGGATTCCACGGCCAGCAAGGCTCGTATTACAAGTCAAAGACGAAGATCAAGACAAGCAGCGTTTTGGACTTGAGCAGTGTCATGCTCACAGAGCCCGAACAGCAACAGTCGCTGCCTCAGGCCAGCCTATCGGAACTCTTGTATTGCAGGGCAGGTGAAATGAAGCAAACAAGTGGGATGTCACACGGCAAGCAACTCAGGCTCCAGCCTTTCATGACGCCGGATTCGAAGCTTCCAGCCTCTGCCGGCATAACACATGAATCGGCAAAGTACGACTCGCAGCTGCGCAGACAAGGGTTCTTCAAGTTTCTGGATTCCTTCAGCGGTCTGACGGACAGGTATCTCTGCTCCATGCGCAGCAGCCAAGGAGCTGTATGCTGTTTGCGCTCATTTGGGCGGCAGCATGGAGCGCGGACATTACGTAGCCTTTGTCAACACAGGGCCTAGCTTGGAGGGGGAGGTGCTTCTCGGGCCGGGTCTGCTCACGTAACTGATTCCCTGACCGTACAGGAGTTGATTGGCATCGCTTTTTCTGTGCATGACTCCTGGCATGTCCGCGCGGTGCATGCCAGTGTCGTCAAAGCACCAGCATGCATTGAAAGCATCAAGCTGTTTCTCATGTGCACTGGTCAGGCCTGGTTTTTGCTGGACGACGCTCGCGCAACAGCTTGCCAGCGACAAGACGCACTTCTCGTGGAAGCGACGCTGAGCCGCAAGAAAGCAGCAGCGATAAAGCATACACCACTCATCACCACTCACTCACTGCACTGTGCTACAATGCTTTGGTTCGTGCTGGCTGCTCGATAGCTCGTTTGATCGAAACCGTTCAAAACCCTGCACAAACCCGCGCTTCATTGCCGTGGGCGGGTGGGAAAAATTGCCGAGGTACATTGCATTCTATCGAAGACCGGGTCCCGCCAGAAGCGCCGGCTGAAGCAAAATTTCTGTGGCCCGTTGACGTGTGTCCTTTGTGTGACGGCTGATGGTGAAAGACTCAAATGTGAAGCACGGAAGAAAATGGAAAGCTGCTGCTGCTGAACCGGTTCAAAGTGCCCGATGGCCCCGACCTGACAGAATCCAGTCCCACATCCAGCCATGGCACCCACGTGGGCCGGGCTCGACCTGTTTGCCGGGCCCTGGAGGCCACATTGGCGCAGCCACCTGGTCGAGGCAAAGTCTCGAGTCTGAGCATTGGCCCCATGATGCCATCCCGCAACCTGAGGAAGCCCAGGGAAAGATGGCTTAGGTCTCATAGGATGCTAGCCAGGCAGGAAAGCAAGGCTGCAAAACCGAAAAACAGGTGAGCCTTTTCTATGCCACAAAGAACACTTGCCTGACCAAACTCGTCAGAGCAGGATAAGTTTGTGTGCGTTTTGAACCCTCCTGCCAGACGGACAGCTAAGCAGAAACTGGCCTGTCGCGCCGCCAGTCCCACAAGTTTAGCGTACGTTGGACAGAACATCTGACACGCGGTGTAAGCCAGAAAGTTTTGGCAGCAACAGATGCTGGTGTTTATAAGGATAGGCTTTGAGTGCATCAAGAATGGTCCTTGGAGATCGGAGGTGCGCGAAAGACAAGAGATACCCAACACAGGCTATCCTTCGATGCAGGCCGAGCAGGGTCGCGGATGTCCTTTAAGTGAGCCTAGCATGAAGGCAGGTAAGGCCATGCAGGCAAAGGCAGGCCTCGACGTGTGTGGCGCATGCTCTCCCCCCATGCGCGCAACATGCCTGAGACTGCATTTTCGTCGCAAGCAGCATGCCTTCAAGTAGGTCACAGATATACATACAAGCCAGGAAGATGCACTCGTGCTTCTTTCCCTGAGGGATGCCACTGAATCAGAGTACTTCCGTGTTCCCCCCTTTGAAGCGGGTCACGGAGTGTGTGTCTGTGTGCGTGGGCCATGGCCGCCGCGAAGACGCCGAAAAGGAAAGCCAAGCCAAAACCGAAGGCGAAAGCAACTTGACCTGCAAAGGTAGAGCGATCACATGCGTGGGACTCACAAAACAGCCTTTGGGACATTGGGGTTGTGCTTAGTACAGTGTGGGGTTCTCAGGCAAAAGCCGCCGATGAAAAGTCCGGTGTCAGCTCTGGTGCCGGAAAGGCAAAAGCAGGCGCTGCGGATTTGAGCTGGGAAAGCGGTGTGACTCCGAGACATAGGTTGCACGTGGGATGTCCTGTCTTGAGTATTGATAGGCGAGCCGAACATTGCACCGCAGTGCCACTGCGCCCCTAGCGAAGGTATCGAGAAGGCAACGCCAACAAAGAAGTCTGCTCCCTCCAAGCGCTTTGCCACTCGTATTGATCGCGACTGCAGCGCCTGACCGCTCTGTGCCTGTCACTTCTGAAACATTACATGGGCTGGGTTACAGGACCGTACCCGCTTGGATATTATAGCCTGCAAGCACCTAAGCTGAGGCCGAGAGCGAGGATTCAGAAGAAGATCGCAAGCGGTTGCGGTTTGACCCGCTGGCGGAAGAGTACGGTGTGAGTAACCCGAGCGACATGATTGCATGCAGAAGGATGAATGGTCAAGCGGTGCAGGCATTGAATTGAACCCGTGCTTGCAGTCCATATGACAATGAGGTAAAGCATGTTAAACATCTCAAATATAAGAGGCTCCGCAATCTGATCAAGTGCAGTACAACAACATAGCAGGACTTGATAGTTCATAATATTATATGCTCTGCTGTACTATACTGTACTGTACCATACTAGTATATACACTACCATACCATACCATACCATACCATACCATACCATACCAGAGTATACGATACTATACTGTACTTTACGGTACCGGGCTATACCATACAACAACAACACGCAAGCATGCAACATGATTCTGTATGAAGTGGTATAGCATGAGCCAACATATTGTGTAAGAAGTAATCAGGCCGAGATATGGCATTAATTATGTCAGAGTTCTAAGCCTCATAACATGTAAGGCCGAGGACGAGCCCCAGGTCATACACTACATTACCATACGTTTCACTTGGTTGCGAATCATATTATGCAATTTAACTTGTGCTACCTCATAGTGAGTCGTAGTTAGTATGTTGCATTACTTCATATCATGAAAAGTACAAACCCCTTTACTTCATATGATGAAATGTACAAACCGTATTACTGTATATTGTGTTGCGGTGTGCTGATGATGTTATCTGCCTTGCTACCCAGTATTGGCTTTATTGCGTTCTAGTAACCTGTGTCAAAATCCATAGTATGCTTCAATGCTAGACCATGTGAACACAAACCTTGGAGTCCTTTTCAATAGACAGTGCCGGCTCCTTGCAGTAGGGACGTGCGGAGCAGCAGCGAAGCACCTTGAGCTGGCTCTTGCAGGCCCTGTTAGTCAGCCATGAACCGAGCAGCATCAGTTGTACCATCATGTTAGGGGTTAAGGAGGACATGTCGCAGTAGTTGTCGTCCTTGTCGCGTTGTTGATGATGATGGAGACGATGGCGACGATGCGAACAGGGAAATGATGATGACGACAGGGGTCATGGTCGTGATCGCGATGCTGACGGGTACAGCCTGATCGCGATGGTAAGCGCGACTATGATGATGATGATGATGATGATGATGATGATGATGATGATGGTAGTCATCGTCGGTCATAGAGGAAAACGGAGTCGCGATTGATGTGAACTCGAATGCGAAGATAATGAGCATCCAGAAAAACACACAACATTACCAAGGTCAGCAGGATGAGGATGCGTCTATGCTGACAAAGCAGTGTTGAGAAGAGATGGTGGTGATGATGGCCACGACCAGAAACATAATTACTACTCAGCAATGTCGTTATGGTGAGAATCGTCATGCTGCCATGTGCCTCAGCTAAGGCGAAATTCTACGCTTGCAGGCCATCCGATTTGCAAGAAACCGACGGGGAGGGCACATGCCCGGCCATGCCACTGTCCTGCGAAAAGCAGTGGCTTGCATTGTTTTTGTAGTAAGAGTCACCCGCGCTAGTTTTGGCTACATCTGTGAAAAGCCGAGGATAAAATTGAAGCAGAGACGCCTCTCGGCTTGATGCTGTGTGGCATGCAAGGAGCCTGGACGTTCCGCTAGCCGGAGGTTGCTGATGAGCTAACTTCTAAATGGCTCCCACCATCAGTAAAACAAACGCGCAGAATATTTCAGGAACTGTCATGCAGAGACTTAGCTGCCGGTAGCAACAGCAGATGAAAATTACAAAGATGAGCTCTCAGTGGCAGATAGTGAGAGAAAGTACTGGGTGCGTTGCTCACGACGATCAAAAACAGCTAAGAAAGATGAACGATGCTTGAATGACCTGACAAGCAGGTTAGCCACGAAGACCTCGCAAAAAATGCGCCGCCAGCTGAGCTCCGACTCGGTTCCTCGGCCCGGCAAGACATGTGAAGAGGTGGTGCCAGGTTTGCACCAGTGGCTACTGGCAGTAGTTGTTGCTGGGCAGCTTGCAATCAGAGAGGGCTTAAGCCTCGCCGCTTTCAGCTTCGACCGGGAACTACTCTATGACTCTATGATCTTTGCACGTAGCGACGCTCTCCCGCTCTTCTTCCTGCCCCGTCTAAGCGGACATCTTTCGGAAACTGAAACCAGGATGTGACGGAGCCGGAGATCGAGCAGGCGCAGAAACAGAGCGAGAGGAAGATACATCCAGAAGGAAAACAGCTGACCAAGGCGACGCAAATCAAACGCACTGACGTGTTGTCGTTGCCCATGCACGAGTCTGCCATTGCCACAGGGTTCACACATCCCTACGTCTGGGTCAAAATGCTGTGCCTTTTGCTGTGGCACCTTGCCCGGAAATGGAAGAGGAGCCTCAATGCGACAAGAAGATGCCAGCTGCAAAGGAAAAGCCAAAAGCAGCTGCGAAGAAGGCGACTGGTAAACTAGATGAGCAGAAGCAGACTTGGCCGAACACTGCAACTTACCGCAAGTTGGAAGCACGCAGGCCACGGCCAAGGCAGCACGGCGGGCGGACAGAGACGAGGATGATGATAATAGTGATAGGATGCAGAATGCGGCATGATTCAACTCGTTGCAAGTTGCCAGGTAAAGGGAGAATCAGATTTTTGCCTGCATTGCTCCTTGCCAGGAAGATAATGTACCACCGCGTGTGCAAGCAAGCAAAGACAGGGGCACCGCGCAGGCGGACCATGCTTGAAGTCACAACCTGACGTTCGGGTGTAACCAAGTGCAAAGCTTGAGACTGCTCAGACGGCTTTGCCAGGTGCCCCACGCCAAGGCCAAGGCCAAGCTGACGCTGGAGGAGTGCGAGTCCGAGGCCGTCGTGAAAGAAGCTAGCGCAAGACTATGCTCTTGGTGCCACGCCATCTTGCGCGGGAGGACGATGATGAGGAGCCGGTGGCGGACAGTGGCAAGAAAGTGACAGCTTCGAAGGACAAGCCAGGAACAGCTGCGACGAAGGCCACTTGTAATCTCTATCAAGAGCAGAAGCGAGCTCTTTGCAGCTTACCACAAGTTGAAAGCCCGGAGGCCGCAGCCAAGGCAGCACAGGAGTCGGACGAAGACGAGGAGGACGGTAGTAGTAGCAAGATGTGGCAAGATGTGGCAAGAGACACATGGCATGTTAGCAGGTATGTTGTGAAATCTGGAGGACCAGATTCTTGTTTGCATTGTTCTTAGCC